AAAGCATTGGACAAAATCCAATACCCTTTTATGTTAAAAACACTCAACAAACTAGGAGTATAAGGGAACTTCCTCAACCTGATAAAGGGCATTTATGAAAAACCCACAGTCAACATCATGCGTAATTGTGAAAGACTGGATGTTTTTCCCCCTAAGATCAGGAACAAGACAAGGATGTCTGCTTTCACGACGTCTGCTCAACATTGTGCTGAAGACCCTAGCCAGGATAATTAGGCAAGAAAAAGAAATAAAAAGATCTAGGTCAGAAAGGAAGACGTAAAACTCTATTTGCAGATGACATGATCTTGTACCTAGAAAACGCTGAGAAATACACACAAACACACCGACCGTGAGAGCTAATACACGGGTTCAGCAAGGTTGGAGGATACTAGGTCATTATACAAAAAATCAATTATATTTCTATACACTAGCAATGAACTAAAAATTAAGAAACCAATTCTATTTATAATAGCATCAAAGAAAACAAAATACTTAGGAATATGACACCTAAAGCTCAAGCAACCAAAGAAAAAATAGATAAATTGGACTTCATCATTAAAAACTTTTATGCATCAAAGGACACAAGAAAGTGAAAAGACAACCCACAGAATGAGAGAAAACATTTGCAAATCATATATCTGAAAAGAGGCTAGTATCCAGAATATATAAAGAACTCTTGCAGGCCAGCCGGTGGTGCAGCGGTTAAGTTTGCACGATTCTGCTTCTTGGCGGCCCGGGGTTCACAGGTTTGGATCCCGGGTGCGGACATGGCACCGCTTGGCAAAAGCCATGCTGTGGCAGGAATCCCACATATAAAGTAGAGGAAGATGGGCACAGATGTGAGCTCAGGGTCAATCTTCCTCAGCAAAAAGAATTGGCAGTAGTTCCCTCAGGGCTAATCTTGCTCAAAAAAAGAAGAAAAAAAAAGAACTCTTGCAACTCAATAATAAAAGGACAACCAGTTAAAATTTGGGCAAAAGATTTAAATAGACATTTCTCCAAAGAAGGAATATAAATGGCTAATAAACACATGAAAACATGCTCAACATCACTTGTCATTAGGGAAATGCAAATCAGAACCATAATGAGATCCCACTTCACACCCACTAGGACGGCTGTAATAAACGAGAAAGATGAGAAGTGTTTACGAGGATGTGGAGAGACAAACTCTCATCCATTCCTGCTGAGAAAGGAGAATGGTGCAACTGCTGGGGACAATAGTTTGGGAATTCCTCAAAAAGTTAACCATAGAGTTACTGTACATATGACCCGGCACTTCTACTCCTAGGTACATACCTAAGAGAACTGAAAATGTGTGTCCACACAAAAACTTGTGCGTGAGTATTTATAGCATCATGATTCATAACAGCCCAAAGTGGAAACAACCCAAATGTCCATCAGCTGATGACTGGATAAATCAACGTGGCATATCAATACAGCGGATTATTATTCAGCAATAAAAATGAATGAAGTGCTGAAACATGCTACCATATGGATGAACCTTGTAAACATTACGCTAAATGAAAAATGCCAGACACTAAGGACACATATTGTATCATCCCACTTATATGAAATGTCCAGAACAGGCAAATCCAGAGAGAGAACGCGATTAGGGATTGCCAGGGGATGGAGGAGGGTGGGGAGTGAGTGGAGGCAGGATTTCCTTTGGGGGTGATGAAAATGTTCTGGCAGTACACCGTGGTGATGGTTGCACAACCTGGGAATATGCTAGAAAGCCGCTGACTTGTACACTCTATGGTATGTGAATTATATCTCAACTAAAAAAATAATAATGCTAAGTGGTACCATTTACTGAATACTTCATGGCCCCACACTTAGCCAAAGACAACCCAGTGAGAGCACATTATTATCCCCATTTATCAACTAAGGAAATTGAGGCTCAAGGAGATCAAGTGCTTTGCCCAAGGTCACGTGTTAGGAAGCACCTGAGCCAAGGAGACAGTCATTGCTCCCAGCAGCAAGCTGCTCTGATCAGAAATCGTGAATAATCCCCATTACATATCTGGTAATACCCAAATAAAATGTTTGTATGTGGGTATCTAAACAAGGCTTCAATGTATATGACATATGTGGTAATACATATATAATATATAGTAGTGTAATATGTATATATGTAGTAATAACATATAGTATATATATGAGGTATATAATATATGGTAATATGGATGTAAATGTATCTATAGATAGATATACATATTACCCAAAAATCAATTAAAAAGTCAACTCAATAGAAAAATGGGCAGAGAACATGATCAAGTAATTTACAAAAGAAAAATTACAAATGGTGGCCGATAAACATTTGAAAAGATGCATGAACTCACTAGTAATCAGGGAAATGCAAATCAACACATGACCATTTATCGTTTATTATGGTGACAGAATTTAAAGATTTCTAATACACACTGTCCCAGAGAGTGAAGGAGAATTGGTACTCATAGGTGTGCCTTAAGATTAAAAGAAATTTAATATCAGAATTTTAAATTTATCTACCATTTAATCAAATAATTTCACGGCTAGGAAACACTCCTACACGTACGTCAGGGCGTTCACTGCTTGCTCGTAGTAGTGAAAAGTTGGATACGAACTAAATGCCTACCAAAATGTACGCAATCTGACGTGAATTCTTAGAAAAGCTGCGAGCTGGAGCTGCTTCGGAGGACAGCACTGAAGCTGGAGCGGGCGCGGAGGACGGTGAAGGGCCCACAGAAGCTGCTGCGGGCCGTGGGAGGGGTGGCCGGGGGTAAGCTTTGGGCTGCTTCGGGGGGGCGTGGGGAGGCCACCCCGCCGCTGAACGGCCTCCGCGGCCCTTTGACGCGCACGGCGCCCTGCACGCTGCGCCCCGGCGGCTCTCGGCGGAGGGCGGCCTCCTCCGGCGCTGCGCCCCCTCCACCCGCCGCCGCCGGCCCAGCGGACCGCCGCGAGGACCGCGGAGCCCCGCCCGCTCCCCACGGCCGCCCGTGCGCCTGCGCCGTGCCCCCGGGGTGTGCAGCGCGGTCCGAGAGGAGTGGGGAGCCAATGCGGTACCGAGCTGAAGACCCCCCCCACCAGCCGGGCATAGTCAAAAGGGCTTCGTGGCAAATTGAAAATAAATTTAAGTTAAAAATTAGTTTATCGGCGGCCGGCCCAGTGACCGAGCGGTTAAGTTCGCGCGCTCCGCTGCGGCGGCCCAGGGCTTCGCTGGTTCGGATCCTGGGCGCGGACAGGGCACGACTCGTCAGGCCGCGTTGAGGCGGCGTCCCACGTGACACAACTAGAAGGACCCACAACTAAAATACACAACTATGTTCCCTGGGGGCTTTGGGGAGAGGAAGGGGAGGAGGAGGAAGGGGGAGAAAGAAGATTGGCAACAGATGTTAGCTCAGGTGCCAATCTTTAAAACATATACATATATATAAAATTAGTTTATGCACACCCTCCATTTCAACCAGTGGGCTCTCCCTGCTCTTTCTGAAATGGACCCTGCGCTCTCCTGTCTCTTGCGCCCTCCGTCTTCGTCCTTTGCTAAAATCTTTCCTTCCTTCCAGGTCCAGGTTTTCCTTTCCCCGGCTCCCAGGTAAGGTCACCTTCCTCTGAGCACGCGGGGCCTGCTGCCTCTTGTGTGTCGTAGTTCACGCTCCGCAAAAGGGAAAAGTGGAATCGAGAATCCCCCGGGTCCAGCTGCGAAGCTCTGATGTTAGCCCCTTACTCTGTTACTGTCCTCAGACTTTCATTCTGGGGGAAGGAGGGCCTCATCTGTCTTCATAATTGTACATAAAGCACTTGCGTGCCCAGTGTACAGGAAGTGCCCAGTGAATGGTGGCTGGCATTTTACTGTTCTCTGTCACGATTCCCAGGGCTGGGGCGGGTCTGTTCCGCGTGGAGACTCAAGTCCGCTTGCAGATCTCGGCTGTCCCTCTGTCTCCTCCAGCCTGTCTGGGTGCTGGGCACAGCCGTGCCCCAAGATGTCACATCTAAGGACAGAGAAGTCAGATTGCGTTTGGCCTAAAATGGGGGCATTCATGCGGCTCTATTTATGCTGGGGTTGTTCCTACGCTTAAGACTTTAGAAGATTAGACAAATTTTTAGTATGTTTTTGTTGAGGTTTGGTGACCAGAACTGAGCTATTTTTATATCTCTGAAGAGCAACCTGAAGTCCCCGGACAGCCCTGTCCAGTCTTCCAGGGTGGGGGTCTGCGAACGTCTTCAGAAGCGGGCCAGATAGCAAGTATTCCGGGCTTTGTGGCCTACATGTTCTGTGTCACTGCTGCTCAGCTCTCCTGTCATGGCACGGCAGCAGCCACGCCTAAACAAATGAGCACTGTGTCCCAATGACAATGCGTTTCATGATACTCAAATTCGAGTGTCATATAATTTTCATGTCACAAAATATTTTCCTTTATTTGATTTTTTTCAAACTTTGAAAAATGTGAAAAAAAAATCCCTAGTTCACAGGCTGTACAAACAGGCAGAGGGCCAGATGCAGCCCCAGGGCCACGGTTCCCTGACCTTCTACTGTTTCCAAGACTAGGAGTATGCAAGAATTGCCAACCCCAAGAGGGAGCTCCAGGATTTGCTCTGTGAATTCAGAGTAACAGCCTGAGATTGGGCCTTTGTAAATGTCCTGAGCTGACCAGTTAGTCCAAGCTACCCTGTACGAAAAGGTACCCTGTACAGAAAGGTGCCCTATCAAAAGGGAATGGCGGATGAATTGTGAAACGCAAGCAGGCTGAGGCTTGTTGCCTCCCTGTTTCGTGAGTGGCTGCAAAACCATTAAATCATAAGAGATTCGTTTCCTATCCTCCGAAACTCCTTGCAGTTTGGTTGCTTCCTCCCCTCTGATGCGCCCATCAGCGGAGACCTTGGGGCCACGTGCTACCTCGAAGTCTTCAGGGCTTGTCTTATCTAACAGAATTGGCCACTTTCTTTTCCTTCAAACCCTCCCTTTTCCTCTCTTCCTCTCTCCATGATTTTTTTTCTGGTTTTTTTTTTTTTTTTTTTTGACGAGTCCTTTTGGCCAGTTTTTCTGTTTCTTTTAGTGTTTTCTCTTCCTCTGTTTATCCTGTAGATATTTCTTATTCTCCAGGGTTCTATCTTGAAACAGCATTTTCTTTTCTTACTCACCCATGGTTTCAAATACTGTTTCTACACTAATTGTCCCAAGCCTTGATTTCCTGTCCAAATTCCGATGCAGAACTCCGGACTCTACGTTCGGTTTCCTCAACATCTGAGTTGAACATGTCCAAAGCTTATCACCTTCCATTCTGATCTTCTCCCGTCATGAATTCCCTCCTGTGGTAGATGGCATTGGCACCAAGCTGGTTGCCCGTGTTGTCAATAGTCGACAGAACCTCCCCAACCTCGGCCCCCTGCTGAGAACCGCAATGTCCACTCACAGAGGTGAGTCCTGTGGCCCCTCCCCCAGCTAGCGATGGCTGGCTTTAGGCGGATGCTTTACCCAATCTGGATCAATCAGATTCTCTCCCAGGACTTTCTTCAGCCATTACTGATGCTTCAACTAGAGCTGGTGCAGCTACATGCACGGAGAAGAGTAGAGAGTTGGTCTACAGAGAGAGCTGGAAGTTGATCGCGAGGAGAAGCAGAGAGTAGAAGGTATGGCCTTGCACCCTGCCCCTGCTCCTCAGCTGCCTGTGCCTGGCCTGCGCGCAAGCTGTCCCTGGGTCACCACTCTCTGGCTATAAAGCAGTTTCCTTCTAAACTTTTGTCATTAATTCCTGTATTAAATTCCCTCAACATCTAACATGAGTTTTGTGTTCCTGGCTGGACCCTGACTATTGTAAACATCTTTGCAAATAAGCACCTGGAGATCCACATAAGCTATTTTAAGAGCTGCCTATGCTTCGCTGTGTGAATTCCCACCACCTAATCATTTCGCTGTTGATGAACATTTAACTTGTTTCCGAGTTTTTTGCCGCTACAGTTAGTGCTGTAATGAACATCTTTGCGTATATATGTGTTGAATGGGATGAAGTGAAACTGCTAGAGATAGTATTGTTAGTCAAAAAATGGGTATGTATTTTTTAATTTTAATACTATTGTCACATTTCTGCCACAGTTTATACCAATTTATACTTTCAGCAACTGTGCATTAGAATGCTTGTTCCCCTGCCCCCTGGCCAACTCTGCCCATCTCACGGGTGAAAAATATTTCATTGTTTTAATTTGCGTTTCTTTAAGTTCTCAGTGAGATTGGGTATCTTTTCCTACACTTACTGGCCATTTGCATTTCTTTTTCTGTGAACTACCGTGTAACTCATTTTATGTCTGCTTTTTTCACCTAATATTATATAGCATGACCTTTATCTAGAACAATAATAAAAAGCCACATCGTCAGTAGGACTGCATACTATTCCATCCTATGACTGTACCATAATTATTCTTTTATTATTGTATATTTAGATTGTTTCCAGTTTTCTTCTTAACACTTACAAATTCTCACATGAGGAATTAGGGGACATAAGGGGGTTGTGTGTGTGTGTGTTTAAGGCTTTTGATGTACAGTACCAGGTTGCCCAAAAGAAAGTTCACCCCAGTTTGCACTCTACCAGTAGACTATGAGGGAACCCATTTCCCCATATAAAGCGTATTCAGCCAAGAGGTAACTTCTGGAGTTTGCACCATGAACTCCACAGGCGAGATGAGCCCCTGAGCTGCTGCCCAAGGAGTCTCCAGACTTGCAGGGTTGGGGCCACTCAGGTCTCCAGCAAGAGCAGTTTCCTTTGTCCATCGCTGTGAAGTTGGAACTACAGACCAACATGCTCTCCTTCATCCCGCTGCTGTCTCCTGAGCGTCTGTTGTGGGCCGCAGGCTCTCTCCTGCCCTAGAGCTCTCCCGTCAACACTGGAGAGGAAATCATAGTGTTTAGAAGCTGCTCGGGTTTTGGAGAAAGCCCACTTACGAGCTGTGTGAACTTAGGCAAGTTGCTGAATTTCTCTGAGCCTCAGTTTTCTCTTGCATACAATTGAGATTGTAAAACTGATGTCAGAGGACTGCCTGGCACACAGTAGGTTTCAGTGGAGAGATTAAAAGTGTGGGCTCTGGAGGTGGCTACGCAGTTGAATCGTGGCTCCACAGCTCACTGACTTTGTGACCACAGCACCATAGTTAACCTCTCTGAGCCTTACCTTCCTCACATTGAGAGTGGGTATAATCATACTCGCCTCATAACGTTTTGGAGAAGATGATACATGTAAAGAACTTAGCACAGACCTGGAACCTGGCAAGTGCTCAATTAATGTGTTATTTTTTAAATAGCTTTATTGAAATGTAATTTACATATTGCTATGAGCTGAATTCTGTCCCCCCAAATTCTTATATGTTGAAGTCCTAACCCCTACTACATCAGAATGGAACCATATTTAGAGATAAGGTCTCTAAAGATGTAATTAAATTAAAATGAGGTCATTAGGGTGAACCCTAACCCAACATGACTGGTATCATTCTAAGAAGAGGACATTTGGACACAGACATGTGCAGAGGGACGATGATGTGAAGATGAAGTGGGGAGACGACCATCCACAAGTCAAGGGGAGAGGCCTGGACCAGCTTCTCCCTCATGGCCTCAGAGGGATGGACCAGCTTCTCCCTCATGGCCTCAGAGGGATGGACCAGCTTCTCCCTCATGGCCTCAGAGGGATGGACCAGCTTCTCCCTCATGGCCTCAGAGGGATGGACCAGCTTCTCCCTCATGGCCTAAGAGGGATGGACCAGCTTCTCCCTCATGGCCTCAGAGGGATGGACCAGCTTCTCCCTCATGGCCTCACAAGGATGGACCAGCTTCTCCCTCATGGCCTCAGAGGGATGGACCAGCTTCTCCCTCATGGCCTCACAAGGATGGACCAGCTTCTCCCTCATGGCCTCACAAGGATGGACCAGCTTCTCGCTCATGGCCTCAGATGGAGCTGAACTTGCCAACACCTTGATCCCAGACTTCCAGCCTCCAGAACTGTGAGAGAATCAATTTGTGTTGTTGAAGCCCCCAGTCTGTGGTGTTTTCTATGCAGCCCTAGCAAACTGATACACATACCATGAAATTCACCCATTTTAGTGTATACTTCAATGATTCTTGGTAAATTAACAGAGTTCTGCAATCTAATATTAGAATATTTTCATCACTCCTTAAAGAAACCTTGTCCCCATTTGCAGTCACCCCCAATTCCCACCTTCAGCCCCAGGCAACTGCTAATTTTCTCTCTCTCTCTGTAGATTTGCCTTTTCTGGACATTTCCATATAAATCATCTCCAATGATTAGGGAATTTTATATAGTAAGAGTCAGCCCATTCTGTATCCTGATTATTTTTTAAACTTCTTATAATGAGCCCAAATCTATTGCCCCATAACTTCTACACAGTAACATGTTCCTATTCTAGTTTATTTGTAACATAAGACGAAACTTGTGATGTGTACCGCAGAAGAATGGGATTGAAGTATTCGGTCAGAATGGCCATTATAAATTAAGAAATTATCACTTTGTTTTTAGCAGTCAATAAGGAAAAAGACTGACAAAAAGAGACTATGAGGGAAAGTGCTGGGGTTTTCTGTTGTGGGGTTTTTTTGGTGAGGAAAATTGTTGCGGAGCTAACATCTCTGCCAATCCTCCGCTATTTTGTATGTGGGATGCCACCACAGCATGGCTTGATGACTGGCACTAGGACTGTGCCTAGGATCCAAACCACCAACCCCAGGCCGGAAGTGGAACGCAGGACTTTAACCACCCTGCCACGGGGCCAACCCCCCGAAAGTGCTGTTTTGAGTTGTGGGAGGACAGAGACAATAGAACCGCTAAGGAGGACGTTTCCCCTGCTGAGACCTAAGCTGAGGAGCTGTTCCCTGGGCAGCTCAGCACCTCCAGTAACTCCAGTAACTCGGGGATGTTCCATCAAGACCACAGTGGGGGCCACACTGATGGCAGGGCGTGGAGCTGCCCAGACTTGTGGAGGCTGCTCAGGGACGGGGCCTCGTGCACTGCTGTTGTGGAGAAGATGCCTTTCGATGAAATCTATCTGCGTCATCATGTGAACACTGCAAAGGAAGGCGTCTGCTTTTCTGCCCTGGAAAAGTTGACCCCGCTAACCTTCCCACTCACCGTGACAGTGAATTGAAGCTGGGCGTGGCCGTGCCTATGCACGTGAGTGTCACCCTTTATCCAAGAATCATCATTCAGCGCCCTGTGCGCCAGGCACTGCTCTAGGCTCTTGGGAGCACATCGGCAGGGAAACAAACATCCCTGCGCCGTCACGCTGGCACTCTAGGGGAGAAAGCCAGAAAGAAAACACTAAACAGTAATAATAAGTGAGTTAACTAAAGTGTTAAGTTAAAGGAAGTTAGAGCAAGGTATGGGGGCTGCGAGTGCTGGGTGTGAGCGTGCACAAGGCTGCATTTTATATTTTCCCTTCTTTTTTTAAACCACTTTATTGAGGTGTGATTGACATACAGAAAGCTGTACTGGATACAATTTGATGAATCTGGAGACATGCATACATCAGAGGAACCAGCACACTCTCTATGCCATAAGCACATCCATCACCTCCAGAAGTTTCCTCCTGCCCTCTTTTTATGATTTTTTCTTTTCTTTGTGATGAGGTTGCAGTAAGGTTTGAAATAGGGCGATCTGTGTAGGCCTTATTGAGAAGGTGGCATTCGAGCAGGACATGAAGAAGGGGCCAGAGTTAGTGAGCAGTTAACTCTGAAAAGAATGGTCCCAGCGGAAGGAACAGCCAGGTAAAGCCCCTAAAGCAAAAGCATTCCTGTGGTTTGAGGAGCACCCGGGAGGCCAACGTGGCGGGAGCCGAGCGAGCAAGGGGAGCAGAGCAGAAGAGGACGTCGGGTGGGTAACAGGGAGCCAAGCCACATAGGGTCTTGCAAGGACTTTAGTTGTTATTCCAAGTGATATGGGAAACCAGAAGAGCAGCATGATCTGACTCAAGTTTGGAAAAGATCCTTCTGGCTGGACTCGAGGGAGCAAGGACAGAAACAGGAGCATTGGTTGGAGCCTATTTCAGAGTCTAGACAAGAGATGGTGGGGTTGGGGTCTGGAGCAGTGGACGTACTGTGTGTGTAACTGGAGACTATGCTGTGTGCTGTGTGCCAGGATGTCATGGTGACCAGCCGAGTGGCAGTCCCTCCCCTGTTGCTGTAAGCAGCCAGTGGTTCTGGTCAACATGGACGGAGGGCTTGCCTCAAGTCAGGTTGGCTCTAAGTGCTTGAAAGATATTCTCTCAGTGAACCAGGACCTACCTCAGAGCTTAGGGGCCATTATTGCCCCAATTTAGAGGTGAGGAAAGTCAACCACTGAGAGGGTTAATAAGCAGCCTGAACTTGCACAACCAGGCAAAGTCAGAACTCAAGCACACAAGGTTGGGCTCCAGAGCACCTCCCTTAAAGATGGCGGGCGTGATGGGGTTATGACAGGATGATACAGGAAGGGGTGGTGACACTGAAGCTCACACTCAGCAGGAGTTTGCCAGGGGAAAGTGGGTGTAGGGAGAGGAGGAAGCAGGGTTGGGAAGGGAGTCTTCCAGGTACGGGGAAGAGTATGCGCAAAGACAGACCTAGAAGTGAGACAGCAGGACCCTGGAAAGACTGAAAACCCCACAGTGTTGTTGGGTCCCCAAGTGTGTGAGGGGTGGTGATATAGAATGAACCAGAAAAACAGGCAGAGAATAGAACTTTGGGTTAATAAAATCCATGGATTGATAATCTACTAGTTGCCTATTTGTCTTTAAAATTTTCTTCCTAGGGTCTCATGTTGCAAATATATCAACTGCAAGAGAGTGGATCTTGGAGTCAGAGAAGCAATGGCAGCCCGAGAGGTAGCCTGCGGTGGGCGGGGAGGCTCAAGGCCCCCTGATCTTCATCACGACCTTGACCTAACCCAGATGAATATGCGAAGTGGAGCGATGAGCTGGCTACGCAAACACAGCCTCAAGAAAATCCCTTGCCCACGTTCCCATCAGACGCTGCCTGACTCTTCTAATACAAAATTTTGGAGCCTCTGTTACAGGCCTAATTGAATCCTGCTCTCCCACTTATCAACTTAGAAATAACATGAGTTATTTCACACCCATAAACTTCATTTATCTACTCTGTAAATTGACATGACATTACCCATCTCATAAGATCATCATCACTCTCAATCGAGCTAATGCTTACAAATTGCATGTTTGACATTTTCTATTCATTTGCAAAACTCAAATATATAAACAACAATCGCATGTTGTGACAGAGTGCATTTCTGATTATCTTACCAATTGGACAAATGATTTAGTCTTAAGGAATACAGGAATAGAAAAAAGATTCAATTGTTTGAATTCCACAAACTCTATCCACTTCTGTCCAGAACCTTCTATGGGAATTTCTAGGCATACGATGTCTGAAAACAGGAAAATGCACCGACTTCTTAGGCAGAGAGCCCCTGGGGGACTTCCAGGGGGACCGCTGGCTTGGCCCACGGAGACTGATCTGGGATTAACTGGTGATGTAGCTGATTGCCCCTCAGGAGCAACGGGAATGAGTTACCCTGCCTCGCTCTTACATGGCTTGCTTTCTCAAGGGAGATGTTTCCACAAATTGTTTTCTGAGATACCAACAACTGGGCAAGGAAGAAAGCCTTCTACAAAGTATTGTAGTCATGGGGAGGACAAAACTCTGGGAAATCCCACCCAAATTCTTGTGGGACGCAAACAAGTGTCCGCAACGAACATAAGCAGAGCAGTTCAAAAGCCGGGGTCTCAGGCGTGGCGCAGGCCCGCGCTCACCTGCATCAGAAGCAGCGCTCCGCCCCGAGCAGAGGCCCTGGGAGGCAGTAGGAGAGGGACACAGAGACTCGCTTCCCCAGCTGGCCCTTGTACCCTCTAGTCCAGTATTTCTGACTCAAGTCGTTAAGTGGGCAAAAGTCCAGCGGACTCAGGGGTTTCAAACCAACATTTAGTGTCACAAAAGTATTTGGAGCCAGCAATGGTCCCGGTGATTGGGACAATTTCAAAGCAAGTATGGATCCAAAACTGGGAGAGAAGTGGCCTCAATGGTTGGTAAAGGTGGTACCTCTGTGGCAGCCAAGACTGTCTGTGTGTGGGCTCAGGTCGAGGGAAAGCGTGTGTGCAGGGGGGTGACCATGTGTGATATGGGCTCTGGGGATAGTGTCTGAAAGGGCAGTGCGGGAAGGGAGGGGCAGGAGGAGAACGGAGTGGGGGACTGTCCAGGGAGGGGTCCCAGGCACGAACAGCAGCCCTTAAATGTCACGTGCATCACTGCCTGAAGGATTCCTACGAAGATTAAGAAGCCTTGGGATACATTTCTGGAAGGTCAGTTCACATCTGCTTTCTATTTGTCATGTTCTGTCAGCACTTCTGTGAGAACAGAGCCATTACCCCAGCCTTGGAAGCCAGAGGCGGCTGGATCCCGCAGGCTGGCACCTCCCGGGCCCTGGGTCCCACCTCAGTGGAAGGAGATGGAAAGGCTGTTGCATCCCTGCTTCCCTTCTCTGTGCCTGCCGCTGCCACCGACTCACCTGGACGCTGCTTCAGAGAGCACACAGGCACGAAGACTGCAATCCGGGGAATCAGCGGTTCTCCCCATAAAACAACACGACAACAACACACAACTTAGAGGCTGTTCAATCCTCTGATGTGTTTTCAATTTGTTAATTAGCAAGCAGTAAAAAGAAAAAGAAATTCTCCTGGTTTTTATAACGTTTACGGTCCTCTAGCTAGGGAGCTGGAGTTTGCCCCAAAGGCATATTGCAAAGTGTCTGTCCTGCCCAGGGGAAGACCCTGAACCCAGTGACACCCACAGTGGTCCAGTGGTGTTTGTCAGACGGTGAAGATTTCCAAATGGTACTTATCAGTGTGTGGGAGGCCTTACCACAAGGAAGGAAAAATTTCCATTGATTTGGTTCAAAGGGCAGCCCCAGCTGCATGTGGGTCACATTCCTGACTGCCTCCCTGCAGCCCTGCCACCACCACCGAGTCACCCAGGCTGGCTTCGCCAGGGTCTGGATTTGAAATGACAAGGCACCTATGACAGTCCACTTCCCCCTCGGGTCGGTGTGTGGTGATGGACCTCCTCCAATGCTTAATTTTGATGATGAGAATTTGGTGGGAGATGGATGGTCAGTTCCCAATTTGGTCAGGGCTAGATTATCAAGACCTTGGCTCAATCCCTTTGAAGCTTATGAGCGGATGAGAAAGGATGATGGACCTGCTGGTGCATAAAGGCTGTGTGGGCGGGAGGCGGACGCCCATGCCTGTAAATCCTTTGCTTTCCCAGTCTGATTATCTGTGCTCTCCACCAGTAATTCTGTGACGTTTTAGAACTAGCTTTAAAGTGGAGACGTAGCTAATTTTATTGATCACTCTCCATGTACCATGTTTCTAGAACTGTTTATTTATTGGTGTTTCTGTGAAAACAACAGCAATCACTTGTTATTGTGGAAACAGTCCCAGGGGAAATCAGCAGGACTCAGTTTGGTGTTGGCATTTTTGCTGCATGCCTCCGCAGAAATGCTTGACTTGATATTTTTACAATAGAAAGAAAAGCAATAAAAGCTTTTGAAGCCAGATGTCCCTTAAAAAAACAGCTGATAGGGAATCTTTGCTCATGTAGAAAGAGATTTCAGTTAAGATGCTCAAATGAAATCAGTTGTACTTAAAGTTTCTGACTTTTTGGTTTATCTTAGTCAAATAAAGCCGTGTATTCTAGCAAAGAAACCAAAGGTCATTCTTGTGGCGAAGACAGATTCTGGGGCTCGTCTTGTGTTGAGGAAGCCATTTTAGCAGTGACTTCAGCCTTGGCAGGTGATGACGCTGCTCAGGTCGTGTTCAGAGATGGAAGAGTTCCAAAATCTAAGCTGGCTTTGGAACACAGATGCTGTGCTTGCAATTCGTATGAGGCACTTTTACTAGTTTTCTGATCTGCACCAAACCTTGATTGCCAACTCTCTAGCCCTCGTTTTAAAGTATCGACAGTAAATAACTGCTAGTCTAGAACACCCTACCAACAAGGGGGTCAACAACCAGAATTAGAGTCACTTCTGCTGCTTGCCCCACATATCGCCCTGGGTAGAGTCCCTCGCTGTGCGGTGGTTCACTCTCATTTATGTTTCATGCCAAAGCAAAACCCACGTAATCTAAATACGTGTGGGCTGGTCCTTCAGCCTTGCCGCCTTACCACCATCATGATTGCCAGTAAGTTGTAAACATAGCTGACTTAGGTTTCACGTCAGTCATTTCTCCTGCCCGCCTCTCTGACCATCCTTCCTTTAGCGCCCGGTTCAAATGTCACGTCCTCGGAGACCTCCCCTTCCCGTTCTCAATCACCTCTCCACGAGCAAACCCTCCGTGACTTGGCATGCACCTCTACTGTGTCATAATACTTTATAGCCACGTGTTTACATGTCCTTCTCACCAGTTCGAATGAGAACCCCAGCAGGGCGGCAGCTGTGCCTCATGCATCTTCGTACGCCAGCACCTGGCTCTGTCTGCCACTGTCGAAGGCTTGTCTGTGTGCTCGTTGTTTAGAAGGACGCCATGTGCCAGGTACTCTGATGGGATAAAAGATGGAGAAGGAGTCACTCCCTGCTCTCAAGGAGCATACGAAGTAGTGGGCCAGAGAAGACCTGGCCAGAAATACAATATAAGAGTGTGTGTGATGGGTGGTGTTATCAGTGAAACATTTGAGATGGGCCTGGAAGGATGCTGGGAGGACCTTTGCATTGGCAAAGGGAGAGAGCGTGAGGTGTCTTCAATTCTGGGGAATTACAAGTTGTCCAGGTGACAGTAGGTCAGTGTCAGGAAGTGGGAAGAGGTGAGGTTGGAAACCTGGTTGAGCCTAGATGGCTGAATTTCTTAAGTTTTGGATGTTCTTCAAATGTTGGAGAATGGCTAACGTCTCTGATGCACTGAGAATGGTGTGAAGAGGATGGCTAGTCACTTCTTTGAGGTTTGAAAGTAGCTGGACTGCCGAGAAGAGCGTGGACAGGAATCTGACAACTTACAGGTCTCATTCTTCCAGCTGCTGAGTGTAGGGCAGTAGAAAGACGTTACCACAGCAGCGTCTTAGGAGGGTGATTTTTCCAGGATGCAAGGAATGAGATTCGGATAAGGGGTGGGAGGCAGGGAGGCCAGCTGGGAGGCCGGGAGTTTTGAGGGCCTGAAGAAATGCTGTGGAGGTCAAAGGAAAGGGGTGAAGTGAGTACAGCCTGGGTCACTGTGAGAACTCCGCCAACAGTCAGCTAGTCAGGAGGGGCCTGGTGTGGTCAGGTGGGGGGGCGGGAGGCCAGATGAGCAGTTGTGTTCAGACATATTAAATCTGAAGTGTGAAAACATATCCAGAAGGACATTTCCAGCTGATCACCAGAGATATGTGAGAAGAAGAGAAGGAGGAGACATTAGAGACAGAGGAATGTGGCAGCTCTTCAATTAAAGGGATGGATGACAAAAGCCACGGGGCTCAGTGAGCCCATGGAGCTGAGTGGGGTCCTAAATTGAAAATTCCGGGACCAAACCTTAGGAAAAGCGTTTATTTAGGGGCGGGAGGAAAACAGCCAGCAACATCGGCATTAGGGGTCTTACAGAGCCAGGAACATAAGGTGCTAAGGGAGTCAAGCTGGGTGTGGCTCATGGAGAGGTGACAGAGAGATGCAGAAAGTTCAAGAACAAGTGGATAGAGCAAACACCTGTGTATCTCGTAACTGAAAATCACCTGCGACTTTCAAGAGGGGACTTCCAGTTGAAAGACAGGGACAAATCCAAAACCCTAGCAGAGGACGGCACACTCAAACGCTTGCAAGAACCTGACGGGGGACAGAAGTGAGAGGGAGGGTCAGAGGAGGCTGGGATGACCTGGTGACCACGTGGCTCACCCGAAGTAGGCAGCTGTGCCTAGACCATGGCTGCCAAGGGGAAGGGTGGCCCAGAGCAGCCAGCTATCTGACCGTGACAGAGAAGAGCGAAATCCTTCTTTTTAAGTGAAATTTCCCAATTTTTAAAACACTGTGAGAATCAAGTGAAACACTTTCATAGGCTGTGTCTGGTATTTGAGCCACCAGTTCCAGCAAAGTCTGCTGGGTTTGAAGGCGTTGCGACAGGACAGGAATCTTTGGATATGTAAGGCTGTGCAAGAGCAACCAGTTTGATGGGTGTTTTAGAGACTGGAATGCTAGCAGATGTCAAAGGGAAGATGGAAGATTCTGGAGAGGGCAGTCGGGTGGAGGGCA